CTGTAAGAGAGAAGAAATTGTATATTGAATTGGTCAGTCCAAATATAGTCAATATGACTACTGCTAATATTGTTAGATCAGATAAAGTATTTGTTGTTAAAGTGGACCCCAATGTCATACATATTAGTATTATTAAGAAAGTTAGTAAGTTTGTATTTAGAAGAAAAACTGTTTATGTTATCTTGTCTATTAAAATCACCAAGAATAATAAAGTAGATGTGAGGTTAAAAAACTTGTTGGATCCAGTTAATAACAGTATTTTGAGTTTGATTTCAAGTAGACATATAAGTTAATAACAGGTAAACTAAGATGATGTGAAGTTTAATATTATTTTAAAAGAAGATATCAAATGCTATAGCACCTTCAAAATAGATATGAATACTGTAAATATAAGATTTAAGATTATTGTAGATAATAATAGCAGTGCCTTTAATAGAAGTAGAAGAGTTAGACCAATACTAGATAAAAAAAGTTATTATTGCAAAAAAAAAGGTTAGCTTTGTTAGAAATTTTAGTTTCTGTAATGCTTACAATAGATATGTTATGGTTAAGACAATAATCTTACTATGCTTCTTTTATAGTATGTTTATTAAAGCCTTTAATATTATGTATAGCAATAGTTAAATTGAGATGATGTAGAATTGGGTTGAATGAAAGTGAAGAAGAATTATAATTAAAGGTTGAAGAATAGTTGTTAAAAAATAAATCAGATAGGATAGAAGTGGGATTAAAAAAGTTAGATCTGAGAAGAAGATTATAGATTATAGGAAGAAGATATAGGGCAATAACAATATAATTTAGCAAAAGAGTGTTATTAGAAAGATATATATGGGTTTTATTATAAGATGAATTGATGAAAATATAATGCTAAATACAGTTTTGTTGTTGTTAGATTTGTTAATATGTTGAATTAGGGTTTGAATAGTTTGACTATGAGGGTGAAGTGGTAAATAGTAATAGAGAAGAAATTTGTTAAAGCATATGTAAAGATCATAAGAGATTAAAGATATTGTAAATAATTTTTTAAAATTGTTTTCTACAAAGTCAATCACTATATGCTCAGCTCTTACAGCTGTGCAAGGTATCATAGTCTGCTCTATACATTAGGTCTGATCATTATTATCCTGGCCTTCATATAAATAGACTTATCTATCTGTTTACTTGTTTCATTCTCCTAATTAACTACAATAGTTATATTTTTTAATAAAATAGTGGTTGCTTCAATGTTGGTTGTAGAAGACAAAGAGCTTAAAAAGAAGATTGTAAAAAAAGAAAGTCAAAAATAGAAACTAGTTGAAAGTTGAGATTAAATTTTTTTAATAAGAATTTTTTAGCTACTAAATAAGCAGTATTATTAAAATATTTAACAATTTACAGGTAAGTTGGTTTTTGGTTTTTAATAACATCAAAATATGTAATGATTTGGACAAGAAATTTGGTATCAATAATATTTTTTGTTAAAAGATTAATAGCCTTTTTCTTGAACAGAAACTATATATTATAATTTTTAGTAGCAGTTTAGTAATAAAGAGAAAGGTAACAATAAAAGTAATAATTACAATGTTTGAAATTAGTTTTAACTTTTTTTGTTTACAAACAAAGTTTTTAGCTTGATCAGCTAGTTTGTTCAGAGCTTTAGTAAGGCAGCATATATCTTGTTTTTATAAAATAATATGGTATTAAAAGTTGGATGAATTCATGTTTCATCATTCTAAGGTGGAAATTAGTGAATGTGGCTGATCAAAATTTATCAGCTAAGCTTAGCCGATAAATTTTGGTCAGCTTAGTCGGCTTAGCCGATTTCCTAATCGGGTCTCAATCACATGACCAGATACGTTTATTTATATAGCAAATACTTAGATTATCGAACTTTAATTTATTTGAATCAGTCCCATGGGTCCGTGAATACAATATAAATAGCCACCAAATTTAAAGGGAAATACGGTAAATAATTAATTGAGTAATGTTCGTTTTAACTTCTACGAATTCTAAGAAAAAACAGGTACTTTTTTTTTTTTTTTTTTTTTCTCGAGCTAATAAAATGTATTGTATTTTCTTTAAGGTTTTCTTTAATGATCAACTTTTAGAGACTAGGATCGGACTGGACTAGTCTCACCATTTAACACCCTAAACGCTAAACATTAAATTCTCAGCAATAGAGTCGCCCCGGGTTAAAAATACTTTAAATAATTGAAAAAACCAAAAATAAAAGTCGAAATTACAAGATCAGGTAAGATTTAATAAGCATTTATTTAATAATTTTTTTTTTAACGTTCATCTAACTTTATTTTTTTTTGTATAAAAACGAATTCTCGTTACTTCTACCCACACTAGAGTTGGTCACCGAAACCTTTTTGGCCAAATCCAAAAGTTTTGGGTTTCAGATTATAGTTTCTGAAACCTTATCCGAAACTTGAAACCTTACCCGAAATCATGAAACCCTATTGGTATAATAAATTTCTATAAAATCAATAACAATAAATTAGAGGTATAATCTAAACTATTTTTTATATATACAAACCTGGGTTAAACCAGTTTTTATAATACAAAATAGTTATAGATTGTAGCTTTACAATAAATATATAAAGTAGATTAACTAACCTGACCTCTAAATTGTAAATGCTATAGTAACTTTGATCTGGATTTAATAATTTATATCTGAATTTAATTATTAGATCCAGATTTACAGCCGTTATCATTATTTCTAGAACATCTTATGAAAATTAACTGAATGGGTATTCTGCCGATTCGATGAATTATTGATTTTGGCATGATCAATGTAGACCGGGGTAAAATCACCACCCAAAAAATTTTCGAAAATCATATGATATTGTTAGTTCATGATTAGATCATGACAATAATATTTATCAAAATATTAACTAATAGATTTAGTAAGTGTTTTTTTTTTTCTTCAATTATTTAAAGTGAAAAGCAATCATTAAAAGCATGAAATCCAATGAACAGACTATTCTAAAAATATATGTTAATTGCCATAACCAAATTCCTATTAACAATAAACACAAAAAGAATGAAATTCGAAATGAATTATAAAAACTAATCAAGAAAATGCGAATGAACCAGGAAATCTTGTAGATTTAATTTTTAATGCGCTTCCGGAAGATTATAACTCTGATTATTTATTTGAATCCAGGATGCAGCAACAAAAAATTATTGAAGAAAACAATAGTAACAAATGGCTCAGTAGTATTAATAAAAACTTTGTGCTATTGCACAAATTGGAGAATTATAAAAACCGTAATTATAATACTTTCTGGCTTTACTAAAATATTCTATTTATTGAGCTATTTGAAATAATAGAATGATTAATTTATTATTATTTTGTTAGTCTAAATTTTTTTGTTTGTATTTTTTAAGTTATAATTTTTTAAAAAATTTAGATTATAGTTTCAGGGTTTCAGATTATAGTTTCGGAATTTCGGGTTTTGGAGTTTTGGATTTTTTTTAGAAAATCTGAAACTAGTTTTGGATTAGAGTCTCCTGAAACTAGTTTCGGGTAGGTTTCGTTTCAAGTGCCAACTCTAACCCACACTGTTAACAAATCTATCAAAGTAGCTTTTTTTTTATACTAGTTTAAATCAGGATAGGAATAAAAACAATTCTGGTTTTCTTTAAGAAAAAGTAGATCAACTGTGTTGGGAAGAAGATGATTTCATTTATCAGTTATGACATTTCCAGCATCAGAGAAGAGATGCTCTGAGGGAACTGAGGTTCCCGGAATTGCTAAATACCGTCATGCTTGTTGTGCCATTAAGGGAAGTATTAATTTATTATCTCGCCAAAAGACTAAGGGGTTATGTTTTTTATAAAGAGGATCAGAAGGGTCGTATTTTATCATCTGGGGCATGTCTAAATATACCTTTAGTTCGTTTTTAATAGGGCAAACTTCTTGAAAACTTTTTTCAAATAATGAATTTAATAAAGAAGATGATGATCTATTTTCAATTGAAGATATTGTTGAGTTTATATTTCTTGCAGCTTCCATTCTGCATTTTAATTCATTTTTCATTGGTTCTAGTTTTTCTGGCTCAAAGCTTAGGTCCTTAAATCTTGGGTTGAGAATAGTAGCGATATAACCTTCAACTCCAGGCTCATCCCAATGGTTTCCAAATGAAAGCTCTATCTCATCATATACATCACGAACAATTAGATGTTTAAGTATCGCTTCATTTTCAAATAGATGATCTTGTAATATTTTAATTAATGGTAACATCATTGAAAAGGTAGGATATTGATCACCACCCATTATGGTTGTAACATGTGCAAAGGGACCTAGCAACTTAACCAACTCTTGAATTCCTAATAAATCTTCTTCTTCAAAGAGCAACTCTTCTAATGCTTTAGCATTTTTTCTAATATTTCTATCTTTATCTTTTGCAAGATCTTTTTGTAGTTTTTTTATAGCTTTGTAAAGATAAAGTAGACGTTCTAACAATGAATGAGTTGAGTTCCATCTGGTCGCGGTATCGTTGGATATTGGATCAAGAGCAGAAATATTTTTATCGTTAAGTAATGGATTTTTTTCTTTAAATATTTCAATTTGTATTAATCATAGTCTTTTTTTAATTTTGTCTTTCCCAGCAACAAATGAATTTAGAGCTTTTGCACAGTCAATTAAGTCAGTAGCCTGTTTTAAACCATCTGTAATACCGAGTTGGATGGTATGAGCTGTACATTTTACATGTAAAATCTCAATATTTTTTAATGCTTTTACCATTGAACTGGCATTAACAGTTACACCAGCTACACATTTGTCACTTAAACCCCATTTAGCTAACTCTCTTAGTAAACAATCTTCAATTCGATCAGATGTATGTGGATATGGGAAACTTTCAATAGTAAGTATAGCTTTATGCATTTCAAATTCTGAAGAGAGCCAGTGGGCCGTAATTTCAATATATGGTTTGTGGTCTTGAGTCCACAAATCTGTGTTAAATGCAAAAGATTCTAATGTATTGTCAATTAAATTTCTTAAACTATTTTCGGTATAGTTTACTGCCTCATACATTTTTTGTTTAAACATATCTCTACCCGGAAATTGATATTGTGGCTCTGCTTCATATAAAAGATCATGAAATTGGTCATTTTTTAAAACATTGAAGGGTTGCATATCATCAATTATCCAAGCTAAGATTCGGGAGGTAATTCTGTTTTGTTTTTTTTCTGGCAATGGCATTCTACGACTAAATAATTCTGGCAGAGTAGATTGAGATGAATCTAATTAAACAGTTAGTAGTTGGATTATTTCTTTAATACCACTTAGAGGTAATAAAGGCCCATTTTTATCTAATCTATGATTAGCTCAGAGATGAGATGCTAAATTTGTTGTACTGGTTGAGAGTTCAAAAGTACTTGGGCATTGTTGCTTTTTATCATTATCACCAACCCATACTTGGCATATAACTTTTTTGTTAAGTTTGTCTTTTTTCATGTGTTTCCATACCCAACTTTTCCTCAGCTTAGACCTTTTTTTAGTATTAGATAATTTACTAATTTTTCTTTTATTTTAAGTAAACATATGTAAAATATTAGGCAATTCTTCATTTAAAGAAGGTGCATTATTTAAAAAATATTCATTTTCTAATGAAAGTTCATTAGTTGGAAAAGATTCACTATCTAATAGTAAATGAAGCCCTTCATCTAGCGATAAAGATCTTCTTTCATCATCAGATAAGAATAATTCTTTATTTGAAATTAAATTCGATCCTTCGCCTAGTGATATATGTAGTTCATCTAAATACAAGTCTTCATCAAAAAAATTTTTTAAGGACATTTTGTAAAGTGGATTGATTATTAATAAATATTGAATTTGATTAAAGGTAACCATTTTCTTTTTATATGCATTTGATTTAATATAAATTAATATTTATTTTTTGTAAATTATATGCCTTACATAAGGTCTTTGCTTGGCTTGAATGAGTCATTTAGGGTGTGAATTTACACTATATGAACCGTCTCCAAATAGTTACGTGGCTATATTTATTACATTTATAAATTGTTCTAATTTTTTTTTTCTCAATATTAATATTGTTTGTACTTTCTATAATTAAAATACATATGGAT